TATACTATAAGTATTTATATACCATATTAATTAAAGGCTCCAAAGTGTCTTTTTATATCATTTAGCCATCCACTGCGAAGGAATCAGATACAGAGTAAAGTCAGCAAGCATCTAATGACAAAGAAAGGGAAACCCTCATATACACAGAAGGTCTGCAATTCATCAATGACAAAACAAGGTTTACTCAACCATCACAGAGCGTGTTCCTTGTCTATTAAAACTATCACAAACAGTCTCTGTTTTGCAGCTCCAGGTGCAAATTCCTGTATACTGATGAAAATGGTTCATGCAGAAGTCAAATAACAGTTACACACAGAACAAAGAGTGCCGTCCTTACTTGCCACTCTCCTATATACTAAGATCAGAGCCTGGCAGCTATCCCAAAAAAATACACTATCTTTCTCAAATTAAACTCAACAGACAAGGTTCTTGCTAATTTGCAGTAGAAGTGGGAGTCTACTATCATAACCCATTTCTCTCTGTCAGGTCCTTCCTTCTTAGCAGGACTCGGTCCCATTCTCTCCCACAGCAGGTTCATCTGGTCTGGGATTGGAACAGCGTGTAACTACTACAACAACAAATATGGGAGCATTGTGCGGGTGTGGATAAGCGGAGAGGAGACCCTGATTTTGAGCAGGCAAGTGGGTTGTTTTTTTTGTTTTTGTTTTTTAGAGTAAACCGAACTTGTTTTACAGTAAATTTTCAGATAAAGGTAAAGCCTGGTTTCTTCTGCAGGTCCTCTGAAGTGTACCACGTTTTGAGGAGTGCCCACTACACCTCCAGATTTGGGAGCAAAAAAGGACTCGAGTGCATCGGCATGTACGGAAATGGTATCATTTTCAACAGTGATGTCCTGCTTTGGAAAAAAGTGAGAACATATTTTTCTAAAGGTGAGCGATTACCACACACTGACAGCACATACTGTGGTTAGACTATTGCTTTCTTGAACTGTGGAGCTACTGAATGTTACTGTGCAGCTCTGACTGGACCCGGCCTGCAGAGGACCGTAGGAATCTGTGTGAGCTCCACAGCCAAACACCTGGACAACTTACAGGATATGACTGACCCCTCTGGACATGTGGATACTCTCAGTCTCCTGAGAGCCATCATTTTGGACATCTCCAACAGGCTGTTCCTAGGAGTGCCGTTAGATGGTCAGTTGCGTGTTTACTGCACATAGATTCCTAAAACCGCATACTATCTGCAAGAAATTGTGACGCATGAGCTCTGGCGCTGCATCTATTGATTTTTTGTTGTTGTTGTTGTTCTTTTTAATAATTCAGAGAAAGACTTCTTGATGAAAATTCACAACTACTTTGAGACCTGGCAGACAGTTCTAATAAAACCAGATATATTCTTCAAGGTTGGATGGCTGTACAACAAGCATAAGAGAGCAGCGTAAGACACCTCATCTCACAGTAAGTCAGTATTGTGGTTTGCGATTTCTTCAACCTAATGTTTGTGTTGCTTTTTGTGCCAACAGACAGGAGCTGCAAGATGCGATGGAGAGCCTGCTTGAAGTTAAGAAAAAGATGATTCATGAAGCCGAGAAACTGGACGACGAGCTCGACTTTGCAACAGAGCTCATCTTCGCCCAGGTCGGTCTCTTTGGAGGGATTTTTGTCGTCCCCCGATACAATTGTCTTTTGTTATTCCCGTCTGTTGTGTTTAACAGAACTACGGAGAGCTATCAGCAGATAATGTCAGGCAGTGTGTGCTAGAGATGGTAATCGCAGCCCCCGACACACTTTCCATCAGCCTCTTCTTCATGCTGATGCTGCTGAAACAGAGCCCGGACATAGAGCTGCAGCTAGTGGAGGAGATGAACACCATCTTGAGTTAGTGCAGCTTTACAGTGTTTCCAATATTCCATATTCACAGTTTCACTCTGGTGAGTAGAAGTATTCTGACAGATCTTTCATTTTCAGATGAAAGAGACGTGGAAAATATCGATTACCAAAGTCTGAAAGTGATGGAGAGCTTCATCAACGAGTCTTTGAGGTTTCATCCTGTGGTCGATTTCACAATGAGGAAAGCTCTGGAGGACAACGACATCGCAGGTACAAAAATCAAGAAAGGCACCAACATCATTCTCAACATTGGCCTCATGCACAAAACCGAATTCTTCCCCAAGCCTAAAGAGTTCAACCTCACGAACTTTGAAAAAACGGTAAGTGAGCAGAGTGTAGTTCAGCAATAAATGTTTCATGGTTTAAACTAAAAAAAAAAATACATGCACACACACACACACACACACACACACACATTTGCTTTCTCTCTTTGGCAGGTACCCAGTCGTTACTTCCAGCCCTTTGGCTGCGGGCCTCGTTCCTGTGTGGGCAAACACATCGCCATGGTGATGATGAAGGCCATCCTGGTCACTCTCCTGTCTCGGTACACTGTGTGTCCTCGTCAAGGCTGCACGTTCAACAGCATCAAGCAGACCAACAACCTGTCACAGCAGCCAGTGATAGACGAGCACACCCTGGCCATGCGCTTCATCCCACGAATGACATAACCCCACAATATCAAGCTGCGAAACATAACAGCGCTTTTTACACTTCAGATGAAAACATCTTGAAATGGGTTTAAAGGCCTTAATGAAGTCCTGTACTAGGAAATACTCACAGTAAATTTGTATTAACAGCACATGTACTCCAAATTAAACTTTACTAATCTTTAACAAAGTACACTTGTTAAGTATAGATTTCTGATTAATGTTTTGACAGTGTACACAGCTCATACATTTAATAAAGATGCATTTACAATGATTGAAATAACTGAAGAAAAAAATCACATGCAGAGGAACAATGGTTCTGTATTTACATTAGTTTTATTTGTATTATGTTTTCAGTTTGATATCAGTTTCTTCTCATCTCATTTAGCATCTGTTGTTTTGTAAGTGGGTCACCCAAACATTACATTACTACAGGAGCTGCTCAGCTACAGAATCTCACGCTATGAAGCTTTCTCAAAATTTCTCAAACTACAGTAAACTGTTGCAATGGTGGCACAGTGATTGGCCCTGAGTTCAACTCCACCACCTGGCTTGGGCATGATCTCTCCGGGTACTCAGTGTAGTCTCATTTTTGGCTGTGTTGACAAATTTGGTCAAATTAACTTGAGACTTTTTACTCTGTGGTTTTGTAATTACCCAACATTATGCCTGATTTTTTAAAAAGGTTTTTTAGTTTATATAACTAAAAATAAAGCTATAGAAAAAGTACATTATGGCTAAGAACAATAACCCTTTTCATGAATGATTTACCGTAAATAAAATCTGCATTTACTTTGCCTTTGTGGGTATTTCTATGTTATATAATCAGTGTAGAAATATGCTATAATGCTGTATATACTTCAGCTTCACCATGCAAACAACTTCACATAAAAAAGCTCATTTTAAATACTCATTTTCATTATTGTGCAGAATCAGTAGTTCATATAAATTTTCGTATTATTACTTCCTGTTTCACACCCAGTACATGTGTTAATAAGCATAAACTCCATGAGAGCCTCAATTTATTAAATAACCAATGAGTCAAAGTCAAAGGGTCATTTTCATATGTTGAATTTATTCATAAGTTAACTGAATGTAATGACAGGCACTCCAAGAAACAAGGATGTTTTTTTTCCTCTGTACCACAGGCACAAATCAAACATGCCGTACTGGCATTAAAACATAAGGCGCAGGGTTAAAACTGAGTATTAGAGACACTGTTAGCATCACACTGTGCTTCAAACCAGCACACAGGCAATAGAAGAAACGCAGAAAGCAAACTTTCCCTTCAGGCTGAATTACTTAAAACAAGCCAAAACATGTCAAAGAAACATACAGGTGTAATCTGGCACAGACCAGTCAAACAGCACATGAAGAACAATGGTTCCCTTTCTTTCAGTGAAATGCATGTAAACATTTTGTAAGAATATAAACGCATAAATATGTTCTTTTAATACTGCAGTCATACAAAAATATAACAACCCTTAACATCCACCTAATGAGAAACATGAGTGCTTAAATAATCAGTCCATACCGTCCAAGACAGACTGCTCACTGTACGTGTCAGAAAGAAAAAAGGGGAAGTTCACGTCAGCCGCGAGCAGGCCAACTGGATATTTTACAAATATTTACAACACTTTAAATTTCATTGGAAGACGACCATGAATATGCCAAACATGACCGATCAAATGCTTCAATTTCTTATTAACCTCCACGTGGAGTCGTTGTCAGTATCGTCCTGTGCTTTTTCAATAAAGGAGCAAAAGAGCTGCAAATAAAATGAACTAGTGCAAATATACTGTGCGCTCATCCATTCAAGAGACTAAATCAAAATCAGAGGACAAGCTGCTGATTCTTGGAAAATAATCAAACACTGCACTTCTGTTTAGCATCTCATGAGACAAGTCTGTAAAAAGTGAACAAGAGAGCATCTTTCTTCAGTTTTATTTGCATTTCAGCCTGCTGTTATTATGGTGAAAGTCAAAATTTTTTTTAAAGTGTAGCAATTCTGTAAATCCGAGGTTCAGTTGTAAGCAGGAAAAGGTGGTTGGGCTGGTTTTACCATGAGATTTATCGCTAGATCATGATTGGATCAAGTAGAAATAATCTCCATTAAGCATCTTTAAATATTAAAGCTAGCATGCTTTACATTTACTGGGCCGTCATGTAATCCTTCCGATTTGTCTGTGGTTATTCATACACTGAAGTTGCTACACTATCTTTTCTTCAATGCATCTGTTGTAAATGTGAAAGTGGAAGAGGGACAAGTGACTGTGGACTTACTCGCTCCACTGTTATGATTGTTGTAGCCTAGAAAATGTATTTCAGATCACAAAAAATATATATCTTCTCTCTGGTGTACAGGAAAAAGAAACAACTGAGAACTTCATTATTTTACACTTTGAGAATTTTCTGTTATACAAAGCATACCATCAGAATTTAACCAGGAAGAAGGCTTCAATTGTTTAGTGATTATGGAGCTCTTTCACGACTAAAAGGCAATAATGAAACACCCACAGATGATTAAACACCATCATTTGACCCTGAGCTTTTAACCTGCCATGTCTTTCAATGAGTTATAGTTCTGCCAAATAAATAAAACCAAATCTTATTAAATAACTTTGAGTGAAATTCATAAAGACCGCAAAATAAAGATCAAAAGCCACAACAGCAGGTTTCTCCTTTTCTGTTCAGCACTTCAGCTCTGTGTACCTTCCTCTTCAGTGAGGGTCTAGTGGGTTTAGTTCCTCAGTGGTTTCAGTGGTGGTGAGTGGTGCTGCAGCTCTGAGTCTCAGAGGCTCTGTAAAGCTCTCTGGCAGTGGTAGATCAGGCAGTCGGGCAGGTCGGGCACCGGCGACCGCAGCCAGACAGCCAGCCAGCCGGCATTCACCCGGCAATGCATCAGACACGGCAGATCCTGAAGGAGACGGCAAGCTACGATTCCTTCCATGCCTGAGCAGAAAACAATGAAGGTTACTCAGCAAAAAGTATAGGACACATTACTATCTATGTCTCCTTTTCTGTAAGCAATTTTAAAATCTTCTTCTTCTTCCCCTTTGTAATGCTGTTTATTGGTACCGCCGTGTTATTTAATGATGTTCATGCTGCATACAAGCGAAAGTTAAAGTTGTAAGTTTTCTTCATAAACTCCTAAGTACACCTCATTAGAGGCATATTTGACGTATAGTCAAGCTGCATTATCTCATCTTTTTAATTAATGTAATTTTTTAAAACAGTTATTCCTAATGTTAAGAATAAATATACAGTAGTTACCACAGATGAGTTGGTGAATATTCTAACACACACATGTTGATGTGAATGCTGCTTTTATATGCATTAAGCATAAAATGATACTCTCAGTTTGAACAGCTTGAATACGAGCAGGAAACAAATGTTCATTCACCTATAACTTCCACAACATGAAGCTGGAGCTTCTTCTTCAGAGCATTCAGAGTGGCTGTGAGAGGTTCTTGGTTGTCATTTATCAACGTCAGATTCTGCTTTGTGTCGTGAGAGAAGGAAAGCCACATCGTCCCATATTCCTCTGTGGACACCACAAAAGGCCTGCAGGAAACTTGGATTAATTTTATGTCACTTAAATGCTGCACTTCAAATACGAGCACTACATATCTCACCTGATGAAGCTGGTTAAAGGGACTTTATATGAAAACTGCAACGACTGAGACGTCCCAGCAGGCAGCTGGTAAGATACCGTCCCGACCACCTCGACGTGAACCGCAGGCCTCGTCACAGTTAGAGAATACTGGCCCACTGCTACACTGTGGCTTGTCACCTCCCCCGCTGGACTATCACATAGGCAGGATACCTAAAAATAAACAATACAACGAAGCAACCTCATTATAAAAGACTAATGGACACCAAACGACTCTATTGATCATTTTCTACTGAATAATTTACCTCAAGTTCTTCAGAGTCGACCTGAAGCAGCATCTGTTGTATGGCAGACTCGGAGGAGTTCATAATAAAAACAACTAATATTAATGAATCTTCCTTCTGCACATGACAGGCTGAGAGATTCAGGCTTTGGTTGGCACACAAAGGAGCGATTTCTGAGTGTGAAAGGCCAGAAAGCTCTGCAGGAAGATAAGAATCCAGACACACTTCTGTTAGTCTGCCTGGGTCGTTATGTGGACCAGGACCAGCAGCTACCACACAGTTATCCCTGCGGAGAGCAGGGTTACATCCCTTTGTGTCAGATTCAGTTAACTCTGCCTCTGCGTGACAGGTGCCATTAGCAGTAGTGAGGCTCTGAGAGAGCTGAGATGTCTGTTCGGCCAGCTCTGAGGCGTTGTTGGAGTCTAGTAGGTTGTTACACAGCAGGTTATCTACAGCACTGGGAGGAGAGATGAGGGAGCTGGATATTTGCTCGTTTGCGATAAAGGACGAGCCCAGACCTTGACCTTTGGCTTTTCTTCGGAATCGCTGTGGCATCGGCTCAGATTTTCCCATCTGTTAGAAGCAAAAACACATATATGTAGGAAAAATGTTCAGAATCAGCAATGCAAATAGCTGCACAAATAGCTCCACGTTAAGCACTTTCACTTATAGCAGGGGTTTTAAATGAGAATTGGCCCTGCAAGGTCTCCAATGGACTTTGAAATGTGTTCAAGACATACTTATGCAAGTTTAAATGAAAGTTTAAATGAAAGAACTACTAGAACTTTTTATGCATTTATCATGTAATTTCAAAGATCTGGCCCACTTAAGATCAAAGTGGGCTGCATGTGGTCTATGATGTAAAATGAGTTTGACATCCTTAAATTAATAGCATTAGTAGATCCTACCACCCGAGAAAATGTTCAGCCAATCATTGAAGATGTTCTAAAAAGCAGCACCTTTTGTCTCATCTTAGACTCACAGAGTAGCTAAATGGGCCTGACAAAAATGTAAGAAATGTTTGGTTCATCATCATTAATTTTGATAATAAAAACAGACGAGTGTTCATCCGGTCCTCTTTGTTGCCCTCTATGTTGAAATTGCCAAAAATGTAAAAATAGATTAACACATATTTTATTCAGGGCTACCTTCAGGGATGAAGTGCGATCATAAAGTTCCACAACTCTGGCCATAAATATCAAAAACCGTCACTGATTTAAATGCTCCTTAAAGGTCATCTCCTTTGGCAACACTCCAATGTTTTCAGTGTGGCTGCTATTTTTGAATCAGAGGAACTCCTGTCCTACCCCACTGCCCTTGTGGGTGATGCATGCTTTATCTCCTCCTCATTTCAAAATGATGACCCTTCAAAAGAATGAATTAATTAAACGAAGGCAGGCAAATCTGGTGAGTTGGGTGATAAGCACAGACTGAGTTGTCGAGGCCAAAAAAATATATTCATTTTAATTATATGTTAAATGTGCTGTCAGTAGGCACATTATGACATGTACAAGTGATGAGCTTGTTTACAACATAACTGACTCCAGTGACAGTTTAAACTCTGACCTGATGCCCTAAAACTCCTGTGGCTAAAGTGTTTTCGGTGATCCTCCACATAAAAATCAGAACAGTCTGAACCATAAGCTGATGCTTGCTCTTTGCACATATGGTATATGGACTGATAACCTCACCAGAGACACAGAGCTTTGGGAAGCCAGGCCAACAAACAGCGAAGAAGCCAGCTGCTGTTTCTCTTGTTCAGGCTCTGGGGTCGGTGTCTGAGTTGGAGTTTGGCTGTGCAAACTGTCGCCTTCGCCCTGCCGGCCGGGAGACTGAATGGGACTGGGAACCTCAACCTGTGCAGCTTCCTCTACAGGTTCTCTCTGGGCCAAATAGCCCTCCCTTCCCCACACCCTCTTTATGCCATCCAGCTTCAAAGCTGAAGAGCTGAAACACAAACAGCAAGTCTTCAGTGTGAATTCAACACTAAAACTAGGAACTTGATTACACCAACAAATGCATGCATGTGGTGTCCACATACCCTCCTTTGTGTGAGAGGTCAGCGCTATCCCCTGACAGACCCGAGCTCATGGACAACAGTGTAGGAGACTGTCTGTCAGTGATGCTGCAGGAGGACATGCTGATAGGCAGAGAAAGGCCATAGGGCTCCAGGCTCAAGGCTGAGATAGACAACAAAGTCAGAACAAATCCAAACAAGATGCTGAATGTGCTGCCAAGATATTTATCTACATTTTACCTTTTGACTGATCTAATTCCTCCTGCCGTTGGTGGGGAGGTTTGTATGGAGCAGCGCCGGCAGCCAACGCCTCTGACACAAATCTGTCAAGAAATGACAGCGAGGAATCCACCTAAAAACAATCAAACAGTCACGCAAAATTGCCGCAGGACTGAAGACGTTGCGCCTGAGTGCTCTGTGTGCTTTGCTCAGCTACACAAAAACATATAATTACTAATTTATGTGTTTAAAATAAAATTCTTGGCCAAAAGAAGAGAGATTGGTTTTCTTGCTCTCTAAATGAATGAAAGTGAGTCCGATACTGAATGAAGTTCTCTGGAGAGCTCCGCCCTTCAGACTTCTCCAGACATGTTACAGGTTTGATTACTCATAAAATGAATAATGTGATTACGGTAAAGGCTGTCATCAATCTAATCAATTTTGCACCCTGAGGGGTGTTTCCATAAAGTGTTTGCAGGTTTTCACAACCGTCAACTAACGTGCTTTTACTGTGAAAAGAGCTACAGAGTTAATATTTAAATGTTATTAATGTGGCCGGGTTCTCTGCTCACTGCAAACAAGTTAAACACATTACCTCCAGAGTCTCTGGTTTGGCACCTCGTGGCAACACCCTGGCTCTTAGTTCAGGGTCTTGGCTGAGGTACTGCAACTCATGCGCCCTTTGTCTCAGCACTGTATCCAAGGAGCTGCTGTATGTCTCAGAAACCTCCTGAGTTACAGAAGCATCAGCACCACCTTTGCAGAGTTTGGTCATGGCCATGAGGACCCAGCTCTTGGTTTCACTACTGCTGTTTTTCATGTCCAAAAGTTTGGCTAGCAGGCTCAGGACTTCAGCAGGTTCAAGATCCTCCCTCAAATGAGAGTATTCCCCAAGCACCTGGGAATTACAGAGAGTAAGTAAAGGTTTAGCATATGTAGCCCTGGCTGTATAAGTAGCTCATTATTTAAATTTGTTCATTAATATTGATAGTTAATTGCAAATGTTTAATGTGTTCAAGAATGTATACAAATGCCTGCAAAGTATGTGATGTGTGTCAGTTAAATGCACAACCTTTTTATTTGTATTTTGAGGTTTATGTCATTATTTTTGATATGGTATTGATATGTACTACAGCTCCAGTGAACCCTGAAGTAGTCTCAGGTAGAGGGGTGGGAGTAAGTGGGGAGCCGTGTGCACTCTGCAGGAAGCGAGAGAGACGAGAGCTGAACAGTGTCGAGTGAACGCAGAGTTCATAGAAGGGCGACAGACGCATTTTCGGGTTGACGGATAGTTAACTCATTCACTGCCAGCCATTGGCAGTAAATGAGTTAAACCCATTGACTCATTCACTCAATGGCAGTGAATGAGTTAACTGGAGTCGAGAACTGTTGTACCCTACTGTGAGGTAAATGTGAATTTTGTCTGACACTTGAACCCAATGTTATTGTGTAAACGGGCTAACTGCTAACCGCGACTAGCCGCTAACATAGCCTAGCATATTCGCTAAGCTCTTGTTCTGCTCTGTTTTTATTTATTAAGCTAATGCTAAGATTGAATGTTAACGCGTGTGAACTGGCATTTAGCGGGGTTGTGTGATTCAGTAGGAGGAGACGGACGTCTTGCTGGCGTGTCAGAGAGGTCCCTTCTGCTGGTGTGCTGAAGTTATGTGTTCACGTGGAAAGGACGACTGTGAGTGCTGCTGCCGCGGCCTGCTGGTAGCCGTGACCCAGTTTCCCCGCCATCCCCTTGAACTGCCTGGAGGTGCGAGTACTGTTGTTTGCACGTGCTTTTATTTTTACTGCTTGGCAACAAGTGAAGCGACCATATTGTTTTAGGTCTCAACGCACCCGAGCCACGACTCAGGCCTGCAACGAGGGGTTTGCTAGCAGAAAGACTGTAGCACTTGAGGTGTGTGTGTGTGTGTGTGTTTGGTGAGAGCGCGTGTGGGCCCACAATATTATTTGATTATTTTGTTTCTGCTGAGGTAGATACCTTACCATTGTTTAACAAACTTTATTGATTTTACTTATTTTCTTTGTGTTGTTAGTTCAGCATTCACTAAAGTGGAGTTAACTTTATAATTGACCTGCTTGTGTGCGATTTATTTCCATAGTGTAGTTTTATTGCATATTTAATACCATAAACATTAAAAAGGGAGTATCAATAGGAAAGTAACAACAGGAACCCAGGGCCCCTCTCAATAGAAGGTGGGACGGGTGTTACACATAAATATTAATGAAGTTCTGTAGAACGCTTTTAGTTGCAACAAAGGAAAGCTGTAAACTTGTTGTTGTCTCTCTCTTTTAAACTAGTGTCACCTTCTGTAGTGATACCCAAAGCAAGTAGTTTCTCCACCTATTTCTAAAGAACAGTTCCTGGTTATGATCCTGTTTTCATACAGCACTGTGCAAAAGTCTTGAGCCAGCACTCTTTTTTTTTTTAATATTTTGCTTCCAAGGAGCAACTCTTTTAAAATGGTCTTGAGGAATACTTCTTCAGGCTTTGCGAAGGTTTTCTAAAGTTTTTCTTTGGATATTGGCTGCTTTGTCCCCAATTTCAGTCCAATCTCAGTCCTGAGCCACTTAATATGGACATATGAATTATTCAAGCACTTAATTCAAGGGATGAACTAGTGTTTTACCTACACATACAATAGACAATTTTGCAAAGAACCAGTATTAATCTGTATCTTTAAGTATTTTGTTAGTGGTCGCAGTGGAAGGGTGGTTATTAAGCCATTCTTAAGGAAGGGAAACTGCTACCCCTTTTTACAGGTGATCAGGAGAGAGGAATAATAGTGGGTGTCTAGGCCACCTGTTTAATACACTGGAGGCTGGTTTAGTGTTGTGGTTCAACTAGTTTGGTTATTTTTTGAGTCCTTTTAAAAATGTAATTCTTTATAAATTCAGTAGTCAAAAGATCAAAGTTACCACATAATCCACTTTAATGTGAGGCAACATTTGTGCTCCTTCCTAGCTGATCTCTTTGGGTTTCCCGACTCTTGGGTCAGGAAAAAGCAAACACATCTGCACTTGTTCTTGTTGGTTACTGCCTCTATATTTCAAGCTAACACCTATTAACCTGGCTGTGTTGTTTTTGTTTTGTTTTTTTTGTCACAGGCTTCAGTTCCTGTGAGCTGACTAACATGTTCTCGACCAGACTCAGATATGACTAAGCGTTCAGCTTCTGGATCCTGAAACCTGTGCAGAATTTGTACATTCATATTTTTTTCACAGCACTGATTTTATTTTTCCTCCAGTTATTTTTCGGAACATTAATTTACAAACCGGATTGCAAAAAAGTTGGGACACTAAACAAATTGTGAATAAAAACTGAATGCAATGATGTGGAGATGGCAAATGTCAATATTTTATTCAGAATAGAACGTAGATGACAGATGAAAAGTTCAATCCGAGAAAATGTATCATTTCAAAGGAAAAATATGTTGATTCAAAATTACACTGTGTCAACAAATCCCAAAAAAGTTGGGACAAGTAGCAATAAGTAAAAAGTAAATTTGAGCATAACGAAGAGCTGGAAGACCAATTAACACTAATTAGGTTAATTGGCATGATTGGGTATAAAAAGAGCTTCTCAGAGTGGCAGTGTCTCTCAGAAGCCAAGATGGGTAGAGGATCACCAATTCCCACAATGTTGTGCAGAAAGATAGTGGAGCAATATCAGAAAGGTGTTACCCAGTGAAAAATTGCAAAGACTTTGCAGTTATCATCATCAACTGTGCATAACATCATCCGGAACAATCTCTGTGCGTAAGGGTCAAGGGCATAAACCCATACTGGATGCCCGTGATCTCCGGGCCCTTAAACGACACTGCACCACAAACAGGAATGCTACTGTAAAGGAAATCACAGAATGGGCTCAGGAATACTTCCAGAAACCATTGTCAGTGAACACAAGCCATCCACCGTTGCCAGATGGCTTGTGTTCAAGCCATCTGGCTTGAACACAAGACGAGTCACGATTCGAAGTTCCTTTTGGAAATGTGGGACGCCATGTCATCCGGACCAGAGGACAAGGACAACCCAAGTTGTTATCAATGCTCAGTTCAGAAGCCTGCATCTCTGATGGTATGGGGTTGCATGAGTGCGTGTGGCATGGGCAGCTTGCATGTCTGGAAAGGCACCATGAATGCAGAAAAATATATTCAGATTCTAGAACAACATATGCTCCCATCCAGACGTCATCTCTTTCAGGGAAGACCCTGCATTTTTCAACAAGACAATGCCAGACCACATTCTGCATCAATCACAACATCATGGCTGCGTAGGAGAAAGATCCAGGTACTGAAATGGCACGTCTGCAGTCCAGATCTTTCACCTATAGAGAATATTTGGCGCATCATAAAGAGGAAGGTGCGACAAAGAAGGCCCAAGACGATTGAACAGTTAGAGGCCTGTATTAGACAAGAATGGGAGAGCATTCCTATTTCTAAACTTAAGAAATTGGTCTCCTCGGTCCCCAGACGTCTGTTGAGTGTTGTAAGAAGAAGGGGAGATGCCACACAGTGGTGAAAATGGCCTTGTCCCAACTTTTTTGGGATTTGTTGACACCATGACATTTTGAATCACCATATTTTTTCCCTTAAAATGATAAATTTTCTCAGTTTCAACATTTGTTCCGTGATTCATGTTCTATTCTGAATAAAATATTGACATTTGCCATCTCCACATCGTTGCATTCAGTTTTTATTCACAATTTGTTTAGTGTCCCAACTTTTTTGGAATCCGCTTTGTAAAAGAATTTTGTATTTCAAGCACTTTAATATTTAACTGTATGACGTAAACCGAGCAGTAACTGCATGTACTGTTCTTTTGCTTCTCGCTCTTATTACATAATAATATAAAAGTCTATTAATGAGCCACATCGTGAGAGCATCACTCACCCAGCTGATGACTTGGAGGAAGCGCTGTGGCAGTTTGCCAGGCTCTCCCCGCAGCAGAGGAATGTACGAATTCACAGCAAAAAGCCTCAACTTCCTGTCTTCCTCCACACTGTCAAAGCCTGCGTATTTAGAGAGAAATTCATCATCCATCGCTCACAATTAAAATTTCAATCAATCAGCATCATATCGGTGAGCAAGAAAATCACAGCAGAATCATTTGAACGTGTGGGTTTCTCACCCTCAGACAGCAGTTTGAGAAAACTGTTAGGGATGTCAGGCTGCATCATGTCTCCACCAAGAGAAAACACAGTGTTCATCGTTTCTATGAACCATTCGTTATCTGGTGCATATGTACAGTGGTTTATAGGAAAATACAAGAAATTTAATAAAGTATAAAAGATACACTTTGGGCAACAGGTTGAGGTAAACCCCAGACAGGTTGAAAATCGATCAAGGAGAAAATTGCAGTGAATTTGTACTAACTTAGCATCATAAATGACATATTTAAAAATATTTTGTTAATTTCTGTTTACTTTCTGTCACGTGATCTCAACCTCCAATTGTTGATAGTTATGTTTTAGCGCAATATTAACTCAAAAAAGTATCAAGGGTTTCCAATAAAAAGAAACTTGAATGTTAATGTTTTCTCTAAATTCATCATATTATTGCTAGGAAGTATAAATTTATATCAGGATTTTTCAAAACCTTTTTTGTGCAGTTTCATCATGTATTCACTGTGGGTGAAGAACACTGAGTCCCCACCACATGTCCATTTGTGAAATGTCCTAGCTACTAAATATTCTACAGTGAATTGTTAGAGGTTTTATCACAAAGGGAAGTGATTGGGATCATGAGAAATTCAGCCACAAAGTTGTACACCTCGTAAAATCCACAAAGCAGGGTCAGCGGATGCTGAGGCACATAGTGCACAGAGGTCACCGACTTTCTGCAGGCTCAATCACTACGACCTGATGGAGGAGTCTGGGTTTAACGGTTGGATCATGGGCCCATAGTTCCAGTGAAAGTAAATGGTTCTTTTTTTTTTTTCTCAACTCTAAGTGTGCATTCAACATGCTTTACACAACTTGCCTCATTCACCCATTCACACAAGCTCTCTTTCTCTCTAACATTCACACACACTCGTACTTACAGATTCATTAATTATAATACATTGTTATCATAGTTGGCATGCGGACTGGAGCAGACGGGGGATCAAACCACCACCAATTAGTGCTCTACCACCTGAACTACAGTCTCATGCTTTAGCATACCAGGACATTTTAGACAATTTGACTCTCCCAACCTTCTGTGAACAATTTGGCCATGGCAACTCCTTCCAACATGACTGCATACCAGTGCACAAAGTAAGGTCCATAAAGACATGGATGACTGGAAGAACGTGACTGGCCTGCACAGAGTGCTGACTACAATCCAACAGAACGCCTTTAGGACGAATTGGAGGGGAGACTGCGAGCCAGGCCTCTTTGTCAATGTCTGACTTCACAAACGCAATTCTGGAAGAGTGGTTAAAAATTCCCATAAACAAGTTGTTACAACTGCAAAGGGTGAACTGACATCACATTATTTCCTATGGATTAAACATGGGAAGTCACTGAAGCTCATATGCCCGTGAAGGAAGGTGACCAAATACTACTTGTGGCTAAAGGGTCGTTCTCCCATCTCTTCTTTACTTTTTAAAGTTTGATTTATGTGAAATCTAACCAGAAAAGCTGAAGTGACAGCCTGTTGTGACTCAGCACAACAACATAAGTTTACAAAGAGTTACTTTGAATATGAGTTTCTATGACTGTGATTTCTTAGCCGCAGCATTATACAGCTCCAGAGGGCCTCAGGAGTGATAATGAATGGACATTTAAGACGATTACACTTTAAAGGATATTTTTCCGCCAGTTCTGCCACCTTCCCCACCAGGTCAATGGTAGTGTGATCATCTTCACTGATACACAGAAACTCCAGCATCTTCTCAACAATGACTGTAACATTCTGGCCATTAGTGATGCGAAAGAGCAACTCCAGCGTCTACAAGACAAAAAAAAGAAGCCTGGTAATGCTAAAAACCTGCAACCTTACAACCTCACACGTTCAGACTACATCACTGTGAGCCTCACCTCACGCTTAATAATGAGGTCAGGGTGATCAAGACACTCTATGATGGTCATCTGATGCTGCAAGGCCAGTTTAGGATCCTGCTGGACAACGTAGGTGAGGGCCTTCAGGCCTGCAGTATCATAGAGAAAGTGTTTTTGTTAGATTTTCAACAAAGAGACATTATTTATGTACAGTCGTGTTTCTCTTTGTCTCTTACCTAGATATTTTAGATTTATCTTGGGGGACAAAACAAAGTTTCCAATGCACTTTGCAGCTTTTTCCAAAAGGTCGGACTTTGGATGAATTGTGTAAATACATTTTACACACTCGTATAAAATAGCTGGAAATAAAGAGAAACGTATATAAGTGGCTGACAGAAGAACTTAAATGGTTACAAAAAGCATACTGATTAGAAATGCTGCATACCATAAGTGATGTTATGGTTCATCTCTGCTCTTTGTAAAGACTCATCAAGGACTTCATACATGACCTCACTTGTACTATGAAGAGAGAGAACATGCACAAAATCAGTGAAGAATCGGGTGATTTTAGTGAGATGTGAAGATGGGACAAATAATATCTACCTCTGATCATTTTTTCCAAGTAAGGAGAGTATTCTGAGCAGCTGAATTTGAAGCCATGGAGCAGGAACAGTGTGATAATTAAAATCCATGGGCAGCTTTCCTCCCACCACCTGCTTCAATATGGTGACAAAACTTGGCGTCAGGTCCTTGTAAGCTTCTGGGTTCTCCTGTATTAAAGCAAAAAAATAAATAAATAAATACATACATATGTACATTTCAACAGAGTACTGCAAATTATGAGGAAACCAGTAACTACCTGGATCATCTGCAGGTAGATGTGTAGTGAGGCTGTCATCACACCAGGATCTTTGTCACAAAGAGCTTTGCGAAACTTGTTGTGGATGTGCTGAACTTGATTTGGTGCTATTAGGTAGAACTTGTACAGCGCCAGGACTGCTTTCCTTCTAATGATTTCTCTGAAAGTTTGTTCCGACAAAAACGTATTAATAAAAATATTCAAGCTCAACGGCACAAAGAAATATTCAACCATCCATGCAGGTGATGAGCAGCGTTCATTACTTTGGGTGATTTAGTTTTTCCTCCACTAGAGGAAGGATTGCAGGGATCATATCTTTGGGGAACATCTGGCTGACAACAGTCAGAGCCATGCACACTTCAATAAGATTTGTACTCTGAAGATCCTGTGAACACAAAACACGACAATCAAATATCCTAAATTCCCTTTTGGGCATCGTATGATGAATGTTGTGTAAGCCCACGCCCACCTTTAACACAGTGTTTACCAGGAGGAGCAGAAGCTCGTGACTTTCATTCAGAAATAAGGACACAGCGAGGTAACCTGAAAAACCACAAATAAACATTTGTGACCAAAGCAGTCTAGCTTTTTCATATTTAACACTGATGTTGTAAATAAATCCATATTCTGCAACACTCTCAACACTCTGGAGCTTTTAAAGTACCACCTTGTGTCTTTTTGTTGTATAAATCTTTATTGTTAAATCCTCAAAAATGACAGTATTATCCTTTAAATTAAGAAAAGAGGAGGGAGTAAGGCCACGTAAGGACTCGCACTGGAACATAAATGTAAAATGATTCATGAGACCAGGTGCGGTGGGGTTTTTTATTCCTTCGTGGTATTCTTTTACATGTCGTTTTGTGTGCCAAGGATTTAGAGGAAGATCAGCAGCTTTCAACAACCAGCTGGAGCCCACCTCCTATCAGTACATTCTGTTCAGCTGACTCTCTCATCTCATCAACACCCTTCTCTTCTTCCCAAGTAATCAAACATGAGTTATGAAACTAGACATATGTCAGAATTTGCCACAAAGGACGAAGCTTTTATTGTTCCATGCAATATTCTCCTCGTCCTAACAGGTTTATGCAACCTGCCTCATCATCAGCTGCTCCTCCTGGCCTTGTGTGTAGATCATAAGAACAAATGGGCCCTGACACACGAGACTCTGAGGAATGAGTTATTTATTAAACCTACCGACTCTCTTTTCCAGAACAGTGCCTTGCTGAGCCAGTTTAATGGCATGAATATAGCTGAAGGAAGCCTCGTAGCCCAACATTTCACAGTAGATCGATCGCACCATGAGCTCCTTCATCTGCCTCTGAATCAGATTATGACAAAAGGAAGAAGTAAACACATTGGTAACTTCGTGTCTCGGTGGAATTTTAATGTTTATGATTTCTTGTGCAAGACAGCAGAGAAAAACCAGGAAAGATTTACCATGGTGGTGTTGGGAGAGGACACTTGTTCTTTGATCGCCAAAAGCTCATGCTGAATAAGTTTTTCTTCCTCCTATAGAACAGGAGACAATGGGAAGTAAGATGAAATACATTGGTGGTTTACAGAGTCATGCTTATTTCAAGGTAATGAGAAGTTTACAGCGAGCCAGTGATGCAAAGAAAGATAAGTTTAAATGTATTTCAGACTGTGAGACGTCAAGGTTTATTCCTATAGAGTATTCCTACTGAACATGAGAATTATTTGAATTATGTCATAATGTTTTCGGCCTTGGCGATACCTTGTAGAGCAGGGGTCTAAACTTAAATGAGCGTGGGCCACTGTTGGCACTGTCATTTCACTGGGGGCCACTTCAGTGTTCATGTAGTACAAAATCCCCCACAAAAAATACAAAACACCCACAAATATTTCCAAAAATGTAGTGCGGGGTTTTTTTTTTTGCAAATAAACAAATTGGTACTCTCTTTCCTGCCAGACACGTGGCAGCACTTCTGCTAGAATTTTCCTACTAATTTCCTACTAAAATCCTAAGAAGCTCTATTTTCTCAAAAGCTTGATTTTATGAGTAATTCACTTTGAAACAAGGGGAAATACTGGCATCAGTGGGCGAAACAGATGGCACTGTACTGTTAGAGACTTAAGAGTCTTCTGAATATTTCTTCACAGTCAAATGAATTGATAGGACTTGAAGATATGCAATAATGGGGTGGTGGTGGTCATTGTTACTCATGTAATCAACCCTTCAAGTAGGACGGAAACTCTTGGGATATTAAGATATCTTCTTAATTCAGAAAAATGGGGAAATGTTTGCTTGGAATTTCCAAGATGGTGTGAAAAGTTAATTTTGGCTGCTCCCTTTTCATAAGGAGTCTCCACAGCAAGTAGTTTTGCATGCTTAATTTGGCAGAGGTTTTACGGTGGATACTCTTCCTGAAACAACCTCAAAGGGGATTTGTATCTGTGCTCGGAAATGAACCAGCAAGCTTTTGCTTGCCAAAAGGTAACTGGAATATACAGACACACCATTTAACACCAAAGAAATGCAGTAAGAATTTCAGGTATGCAGGTTTAACAATACAAGGTTTATACAAACTGGCCACTTTATTAGTTACACCTAGCTCATACTAGTGACTAGTCACTCTCTTAATTCATGATGTGAAACTCCCATCCTACAAATACCAAAGGTGTTCTTTTGGACTAACATCTGTTGACTGTGGAGGTCATTTGAGTACAGTGACTCATTGTCATGTTCAAGAAACCAGTTTGAGATGATTTGAGTTTTGTGACATGGCGTGTTATTCAGGTTATGGAGTTTAATTGATGCTCAGTTTGCACTGGGGTGCCCAACATGTACCAAGAAAATATCTCTCACACCATTACACCAGCAGCAGCAGCCTGAACCACTGAGTGGATGGATCCAAGATGTTTATGCCAAGTTCAGACCCAACCATCCAAATGTTCCAATAGAAAATGTGAAACCAGGCAATATTTTTCTAATCTTTTATTGTCCAATATTTGGTGACGCCATCCAAATTGTAGCCTCGGTTTCCTGTTCTTTTTTTCCCCTTTTATTAATCAGTTCCTCCAGTCAGTTTCCTGTTCTTAGCTGACAGGAGTGGCACCTGCTATGGTCTTCTGCAGCTATAGCACATTGCTTCACAGTTAAGTGTGTTGTGCATTCAGAATTTAAACATTCAGGCTTGCTCTTCTGTGTTTTCTCTTTTTTGGGCAATGTTCTCTATAAACTCTAGAGAAAATCCAAGCAGAGGAGCAATCTGACAGACTGAAATACTCAGACCAGCCTGTCTGACACTAAGAACCATGCCATGATCACCTAAATCACGGATGGTCAAGTTTGAACTTCAGCGGGTTCGCATGTCTAAATGCATGGAACTGCTGCAACGAAATTAGAGATTTGTGTTAAAAAGCAGTTGAACAGGTGTACCTTATAAAGTAGCAAGTGAGTGAATACTGCTGACTACTTGTCCTGACTACTTGTTTCTGCCACAGAGACTAGACGTGATAAATACCAGGATCCTGTCCAAAAAACATTTACCAAAACCTCGGAAATCCCAGAAGACGAACTTCTCCAATTTGTCTGAGTTTACGAAAATGAACATGAACGCACCAGTGAGGATAAATGCGTGAAGTAGCACTGCTATAATTTGTTCTGCCACATGATATTAACATGGCAAAAACAACACAACGCCTGTAAACCAGCCTCTAACTTAGTACAGTAATGTAAGGCCTCCAGTAAGTAGGTTAAACGTAAAGACATGCCTATAATGAGTTAGCACAGGCAGCTTAGCTTAGCAACCTTAGACGGTATCGTCAACTTATCTTGTTTTTAGTTCATTTCAAAGGGCAAACTCACATGTTTAGACGTTAGCTCAGTGATTCCTCTGATGAGGTTTCCTAGCTTTGAAGTAGAGGACAGTTTTGCAGACCCAGGGTGAGAGTCTAAAGAGAGGAGGCTCGGCAGAGCTGTCAGCGTCTTCTCCACAACATCGCTCATTTTGGCAGCTAAAAGCGGGCTAAGCAGCTGGCTTCTCTCTTATAAAACACACTTATTAAATCGCTAAACATCACAATAAGAGTCTCTTACATACACACAGTAAATGTTACTAGTTAAACATTTAAAACGACTACAAGAGTTACAACACTGGCTCTTCTGTCGGCCATTGTTTTGAATCGGCAAGGCTTTTTGATGATGTCACTTCCGCTTGATTTGAAACTTTATTGGAAACCCTCAACAGTAACAGTGGGCCCTCACTCTGCTGAGATAATAATAATAATAATAATAATAATAATAATAATAAAGAGACACGTAGGAGCGATATTCAAAACGGATTTTATTATGTTTGTAATAGTTTGATTAACAGTCCCCTGCATATCTGTACACTAAACTACAATAATTACTCTAAATATGAAATTACAACCATTGGACAACTGCATGAAAAGGAGTACATTCAATTATATGTATATATATTTTTTAATTAATTTTTTTTTAACGTATTAGTATTTCAACAGTGGAGTAGCACAAGTTCAGGGTGTCTCTAGTGCACATCGAGTAGTGAGTGGCTTCCACATCTAGAAACGCAAAAAAGATGTAGTAAACCATATTTTAAATTACAGGTATGAAAAAAAATCATTCATCTCATGTTTACCTATTAATGTGCTTTCTTTGCATTGATATTGATACAGTATTATATTGGCAGGTGAGAAGCAGCTGTTGGATGCACACGTTGTTTGTTAGATGTACATTTAATATAATTTCCAAAATAAAATATTAATTTGTACCTTTCTCCATAAATCTCATTATTATTTCTCATTACTTTTGCCATTCACAGAAAAGCCCCCCTGCTCTTTGATGTCTCCTCTGAATGAATGTCCTCATTTGTTTAATAAAAAATAATAACAATAAGTAAACATGTATTTTCCTCCATGTGGGCTAATTAACACATCACATTATTGTGTCACTTCTATCCTAGACTGATGCAAGCCACTACCAATAATATTTTCAGTAATATACTTGTTTTAAACTTCATAGTTGTAATCATACGAACTTCTGTGCACCTTTTCTTCCCATCACATTGTAATGCGAGCTAGCCATTTGGTTTATTACTCTTTAAAATATGTAAATCTACCCTGGCCAAAACACTGGAGTATATACAATGCTATTGATGTGCCCTATGTACAATCAAAACTGAGTCACTATCTCTGTGATTGTACTCTAGCAAACAGAAACATCAGTGTGTCTTCAGTAGGTCTGTCTACTATTTAATCGTTTGTCTTGATGCTTAGGCCCAGATCTGGAAGGCAAAGAAAATAGACATTACAAGATATAACCAGACAGAAACCTGGAGTAATCACATGTGCCAGATCAGATATCATACCCGAAGAGTGTGGTCCCAGGAACCTGTGCAGAAGGCTGTCCCATCAGGGGAAACCCGCAGGGTGCTGACACGGTTCTCGTGTCCAAACAGAATAGAGACCCGTGTTCCTTTGAGAACATCCCAAACATTAATGGTGTAGTCGTTGTAGCCACCAAACAGTAGCCGGCCTGGGGAAAGAGAGGGCACACCCAAAATGTTTTAACGGCATTATCCTTAAGCTCAGTACAAACAACGGCGAAGGTAAATATTCTATATATCGTACCACTGAGCGAGAAATCAACACTGGAGACACCAAATATGATGCTGTCTTTGGAATAGATAGCCACTTCCCTGTCTGCCCTTAGGTCATACAGGCGGCACTGTAACAAAGGGGAGTGTTTTCATTTTTTTCTGTTTTTTATGGTGCAGTGTAATTATGATTAATTATCTGCAGCACGCTGCACATGAAAACTGGCTTCACCAGTCAAAGGTAACATGAAGAAATCAATTCTTACTGTAGCGTCATCCGATCCAGATGCAAAAGCGTCTCCGCTGGGATAGTATCTGTTAAAATACAGACAGCAGTAATAAGAAATCAATTTTTAAAGCTCTTACATGTAAGATTTGAATACTTCTGACTTATAGCAACTCCTAGTGGTAGCATAAGAAAATGAGACTCAAGATTTTAACATTTTTGTTTGCAAACAAAAATATAGAGGCCATTACAATAACATAAAATATGTTATGATAATGCACACATGATGAGGCCTTTAAAACACTTCCTTTTAATGCGTAATTATAAATAGAAAAGGCACTCATCTTTACACTTACCTTCTCTACACTTATATTCAGGAGCCATTACAACGGGGTGACTTACCGTACGCTATTTATGTCTGACTCGTGAGTTTCAAAGGACTGAATACACTGCCCTGAACGCATATCCCAGACATTGGCCTTCTTATCACAGCCCTGCCAATGAAAGCAAAGCAGAAAGTGTCAAAAATTTCAGTGTTTAGCCTCTTTAAGTAAGCTGTACCGAAAACTGTGCAGAAAGTGTCCTCACCCCCGAAACAAACGTGTTTCCGGTTTCAGATGGGGCCAGATCCAGACACAACACGTCTGCAGCGTGTCCATGGAAACTCTGTAACAGCTGCCCACTCTCAACATCCCATAATGCACATGTTCCATCCCCGCTGGACGTCAGGATCTTGAATGCATGCGGCAAGAGAAAAAAAAAAAAGAAGTCGTTACAGGCTATCATGTAGTTGTAAATGGACTGCCTTTGCAGTGTGACACCTCATGTGACCAGGAAGTCAAACTTGTAAATTATTAACAAAGTATTGGAGCTCTCACTGGAATATAGAAGGAAGTGATATCTGATTGAGAGAAAAATAAAAAGGTAGCTTGCAGCTACTGTTTCCACAGGCATTTTACCCATGATCCTCAGTGGTTTTTAGAGTGTGGTGACAGTTTTCTCACCTGCATATCCGAGTTGGTGAAGCTACAAGCAGACAGGTAGTTTGTGTGCATGGCCACTGACTTCTTCTTTGCCGCTAAGTTCTCATTCTTGTCCAAAGACAGAGGATAAACTGAGCATTTATTGTCCAGGCCTCTGCAACAGAGAAGCTACACACTTTACCACAAAAACAAAATACAGAAAAGCAACAAAAAATACAGCAAAATACAACCAGATCTGGATCATTATAGAGAGTAACGCACTCACCCACAAGCTACAGCGCAGCCAGAGGGGGCATAGGCACAGGCCATCACCCAGGTGCAAGGCATTGTCACAGCATGTTCCTATAAACATCAGAAGACAAGGCTTTTGTGCTCGAGCCGCACAGGGAGAATTCATTATCCATAATCAAAGCAGAACAACTAGCTTTGGTTTGTCCCATGTAGAAAACTTTAGAAAACACTTTTACACAATTTCAGTTTTTATCATCTAACTCTGATGTCTCCTTCATAAAAACAGGACAGTTGGATTTACCATCAGCACACAATAGATATATTGATGCACAAATCCTATGTGTCACTCCTATCTGATCTAAAAAAAAAAATTATATCTAAAGCAAACTTATTACCATCATGGAAATTTATATTATTTTTATTGTTATCGATTCAAAAGCAAAAAATACAAATATCTAAGAATACGTGACCCATGAAAAGTAAAAGTTACCTTGTTGGTGGTGAAAGCGTCCCACACAATAACTTTTCCATCCTGCATCAAAAGATAAAAAAGGTTTGTACACTTTTGAAAACACATGCCACCAACAACAAACTTGCTCTGCAGTCAGCTGGAAACGAGACTAGAGGTTTGTGACCTGTGAGGAGCTGACGATCCTCCTCTTGTCCTTGCACCAGTCCATGCACAGAACTTTATTCCCGTGCCCCTTCAGGGTCCTCCGGGTCTTCATGACAAACTGGCCAAGCCCCTCCACCTTCTCTGCCACCTGATGTACTGCACAAACACACATGTATATTATACATTAAACATGTCCCCACATTAACACTCGTGGCAGCAGCCAGGATTAAACTACAGCAGGCCCATCTAAATGGAGGAATATTGAATTAATCTATTTTTAATCTGCCATGTCTCAGATAGCCCGAATCACATAAAATATGCATCAGAAATGACCTGTGCTTGATTTTCACGTTTTTATTTCACACTCTTGCTTTAATTGTCATATTGTTCAGATATTATGAGTAAAATATGAGTAAAAATAAATCAATAAATAAAAAGAAAGAAAGTAAAGGAAAACAGTCCATGGATGAAACATGGATGAAAGTATTAGGCTATGAAATGGGGAGGCAAACAAAACAGCCTGCCCCCGTCTCTTGACAAATCGGTGACATCGGCGCCGATCGGATCGATAATCTGCTCCGCCAAATCCCCCATCTCCGGTAACACCGGCGATCTTTGACTTCTGGCGGAGAAACGTGAGGCTATGAGGAGACGTTCGCTGTTATCCGTCCCGTCACAGGGTAAACGCAGAATTGAATCAGGGCCTCTCCATTTTTTTAGCACTCACGCTCGACATCGTGCAGCTTCGCTCTTTCCTCCTCCAGCTTCGACTTCAGCGTCTCCGACTCCGTTTTGAGGTGAGCCAGAGTCTCGTTCAGCGGTACCTCCTGTGTCGCCATTTCAGGGGTTGGAGGGGATCTCATATATTTCCTTTGAGCAGGAAGCGATCGGCAGCGAAAAGGCTTAGAGCAGAGCTAACAGCTGATGCTGCTGTCATGACGTCAGAGGGCGAAGATGCTCCTCCAGTTTCCAGGGGAGGAGGATCCTGCATCCCGGTGATGCTGCCGCACACACACACACAGGATGCATCCCCTAAGCAACACTACACTCAGCTTAATAATGCATTTTTTTCACACTGCCCACATGAAGAGAAGGGACAAGCTCGTTTGCCTGAAAGGCATTAATGTGGCAGAGGGAGAGGGAGAGAGGGCTTTCTGGCATTTTAAGATGCTGAAATGGAGCAAAGATGTTTTCATTTTAACCAAAAAAGAATTACTGAGAAAACAAGTAATATTGTTTGTTAAAGTAATTTTATTCTTCTTCATTTTTTTTAATGAGCTGTTATGAGTTGGTGATTTGGCATGCTATTTTATTAATTCATATTACTTCATTTTCACATCTTACATGCTCTGATTCAACTACAGGACACACATATAAAAAAAATACACAGTGAGCATTTAATTAACTCATATTTTAGCCTTGCTGTATTTTAACCTGAGTATATGATAGTATAAAATAGGTTTGCATTGGTATAGCTTTAATCCAAGATAATGCCTTTATTCATTTATTTAGCATGTTATTGAAATTTAAATAAAAATGTACACACACACACACACACACACACACATATTATATACAGTACACAAGAATAAAATATCATTGCTATGTCGTGTTTGGTCAAAATGTTGCAATGTTATTCAGTTGTTCTTTGTTTTAAACATGTGCTGTACAGGGTTTTAATGAAAGTGCTTAAATATTTATATCTACAATCTAGTGCAACTTTAAACAGACTGACTAAGACTCAGCATAAGGAGTAAAAATGTCAAAGGATCTGTGTGTCAGATCCTGTTGAGGAAGTCGAGATGAAGGCTGTTCGGGACCTGCAGCAGCTCCAGAGCCTGTGTGGACGTGCAGAATGGAAACGTGACCTGGAAACGATAATCTGCATCCAGCATCAGCTGTGCGGAGCCTTCGTGGTCTTGGAGCAAAGACTGGAATGAGAAATATATTGACAGCTTAGTCAACTGTATTTATTTTGGCTAGGAGGGTGTTTATATTTGAAAATGAACAGCTGGGCTCACCTGAACTTTGCGGACAAACGATGATGTCACTCTTTTTTCAAAATCGTCAATGGGCGTGTACGAGTTCAAAATTTTGACAATCTACAAATTTTAATGTTAGGTTGGAGTTTAGTGCGAGATTTAAAAATGAAAAAAACAAAAAAAAACACCAAAACCACATTTTAAACAACAGATGGAAGTACCTGAACGGGGCTGAGTTCAGAGCATTTTTCAATGATCTCCTTGGCATCATCATCAGTGGATTTGTTGACTTGCAGTAACCACGCAGTTTGAGCCAGTGGCTTCAAAGTATCCATAGCATTCACGTTTTGAAGTTCCTTCTCTTTCAGCCACTCTTCTAGATAACTGATGTTGCATCTGAAAAGAGAAAGCAGCTGTTAAACTAAACTCTCTTTGAGTTGTGTTCAAAGCACATACCTGATCTGCGAGCACAGACCTGATCTGCATCCCCTTCCTGCAGGAGCACATGTCCTTGCGGAGCATGATGTTGTTAAGAGTGATCGCAGCCACGAGGTAGAACAGCTGTTTGATCACTTGTTTGATGAGGCCCTGGTCCAGACCATGGTGGTTCATGGTGGAGTGGAAGACAGTTAGATGCTGGAGGATGGAGGAGATGGTGTAGGTCTCTGATTCCTCATAGAAGCTGTTGGAACGCTTCCTGAAGCCCGTCGGCTTCATGCTAGAAATCCCCTGTAGACTCTCGTGCTCCAGCATGCCGGGTACTAAGAAAGTGTAGAAGTAGGGTTTAGCTTACTCATAAAAGGATTTTTTTGCAAAATATTACATTTGAAAAAACATTACCAATAGTGGGAGTAAAAGTCTTTTGCATGACTGAGATAAACCGATGATAGATTTGGATGGCCAGATCGCTGAGAATCTGTCTGTGTTCCGACAAATCGAAATTCTGCAAGCAGTTTTTTTTCTGGCGAGGTGTACTTTGCTTCAGGAACTCCTTTTGTTAACAGGATGGAAAACAAGAGCATTTTAATATGTATATGATATTATCAACAGACAGAAATGAAACAGTAACTACTGATTTTTAAAAAAAAAGTAAATTTGTACTTCCTCCCCGCTGTACTGCTTCAGACAGTTGAGGAGCTGGTGCGTGTTTGAGAGCCAGAAGGACAGGAACTCTAAATCTTTTTGATGACTCTAAAACAGGAAAATGTTGTTTACATTATTAGATATAAACAATACCTCAAAATACATCAATCCATTCACCAGTCTATCCATATATATCCAGGGGAACAGAGAGGTGTTCCCAGGCCAGCCAAGAGATATAATCTCTGCAGCATGTCCTGGGTCTACCCCACCTCCTCCTGCTAGGAGTTGTTTCTCAGCTAGCTTAACCCCACCTATCTGGGGTGCAAAACCCCAAACGCGAATCTTGAGCTCAAGAGTTTTACTTCCTGGTTAAACAAGGGTTACAAAAATAGTTAACCTTACCACGATGACTTTCTTGACTCCACCAATGATTGCATTCATAAGGGACTTTAGTTTTGCCTCATCGTTCAGGTAGTCCGCATGGCGGATGCACATGAAGAGGATGTAAGCTGGCAGGGTCGGGATCATGTTGACCGCCACGCCTTTGAGTTTCAGATCTGCGAGGAAATTGGGACGAATTTGTCAGAGAATATGGTTTATCCATTCATCCGAGTTTTAATACCCTCACTCCTGCTCACATCCATGGATCAAATAGCTTATATGATTATTAAATAAAAGGCAGGTAACATGGGCATATTGCAGACATAGTGCAGGGGAAGAATACCCAGAATGATGTTTTCAATGAGCCTTGGTTCATCCTCTCTCTTGTACTCCAACATGCCAAGGTAATCTTTGGGAAGGGTGGATGCAGTTTTTTGTCTCGCTGTTTGAGAAACAATAAATGTGATGAAAAAGTTGAGACAGCTTGTATGGACTCGATTTCTTTGTTTACATGTGGCGCAGGAGCTCCAGTGCTACCTCTCTGTGACGTTTCGAGGCTCTTAACTTGAGTCTGAAGTTTCTTTATTAATCTGTCTTTCTGGTCGAGCAGCTCGTCAAAGTCCTGAATCAAAAGTGGAATCAGTTATTGGTTTACTCTCACTGTAACCTTCTACCCTTCGTACGCTCAACGCACCATGTTCTCAGCAGTTAACCGTGAAGTCTCCTCTCTGAGTTTGTTTTTGACCTCATTCTCCATCAGCTGCTGTCTCTTCAAGTGATCATTCTCCTCTTCCAGCTCCTCTACTCTGCCTTGAAGCTCTCTCTTCTCCCCCTCCAGCTCTTCAGCTTTTTCCTCAAAGTACCTAAAAAAAACATCCAAAATCAGGATGAACCAGATATGACCATCACTACTTTAATCAAGAAAGACATCACTACCGCTGAGTAATTTACCTCCGTTGTGAGCTCTCTTCTGTAATCTTCTTTTGAAGATTGTGAGAGATCTCTTTGTTTTTTTCTGTTGAATGACATAAAAATAAAAGAGCAAGTTAAAACAGTAATCTGCTTCACTGCGAGACTCCTGAACAAAAGAGTGTACCTGTTAATTCTCTTTTCTGCTCCTCAACAAGGCCTTCAAGCTCTTGTTTCTGTCTCTGCAGCTCTGAAACCCGCAGCTTCAGCTCCGGGATCACCTGCGAATGAAATTAAAGCAGACGTCACAGTTACATTCTGAAGCTCGCACCTTTAACCCGTGACGTATCGAATAATACGTGCAATGACATACTGAGTTTTCACTGCTGAGTCTGGACACTTCTTGGCAAATGTTTTCATTGACATTGCTTTTCTCCTGGAACAGGTTTTGCAGCTTGCTGTTCTCATTCTCAAGGTGGTCCACTTTCAATTTCAAGCCCTCTACTTGAGTCTCAGAGCTTTCCTTCTGCTCCCTCTGGTGGTTTTCTAGAATCCTGCCAACAAATGTGAGACATTTAACAAATTCAAGTACAGACACCCAGAAGGAAAGCTGCACGTTTCTGTTAATAAGAAAGTGGTTTGCTACGGTTGAAAAATGAAGACCTGATGGCTTTTTGCAGGCGTTCAAAGGCTGACAGCAAATCTTCAACTTCATAAATCTTCTCTGATTCGTCAGAAGTCATCCTTTGGAGAAACAATGTGTCAGATTAAATGACTAATAGAGATGAAGTGAGGAAACACAGTGCTCAAAATATCTGGATTACCCCAGAAGAACTTCCTCTTCAACAACACCTTCAAGAAGCTGCCTTGCGATCTCACTCACTTTACCTGCAGAAAACATTCAAGGCTCATCAACAAACGACTTCTTTTTCTTTACACAAAGGAGATTATTTTTTTACATAAAATTCTATACACACCTCTTGCTTGTTCCGACTGCTGCTTCATCTTTCTCTCCATGTTATTTCTCTGATTTTGCAGGTTGTTCAGATCTCTGCGTAGCTCAGGAATTAGTTTGACATGCTTGGTGAGCTGGATGACCTGCTCCTGCAGGTCTGAGTTCGCCTGCGCCCCCTCTTCTAACTTTCTCTGCAGGATGACTCGTTCTTCTTTCAGCCTTTTTATCTCCTCTTTCAGAGTTGCCACCTCGGCCTCGTGGTCCTGTCTCTGAATTTCAATGTTGTTTTCCGCGATCCTTCAGAGACGAAAAAGCTATCTGATTAAACCAAAGAAGCTGGGAAAATATTAGCTTAAATATTTGCTCAACCATGCTGTACACCAGCAGTGTTTTTCTTTTTCCCCTCACACTGTCCCCAAAGTTCTTGCTCATAAGGGGAGCTATATAAACAAAATTGAATTGAATTGAATTCTGCAATTGTTATACTGGTCCCACCGCTTGAGATCAAACTGGGCTGTGTGTTGCACATAAACTAAAAGGAGTTGGAACCCCAGCTGTAGATGATAAATCTCACTTTTTAAATACTTACTTTCTAAGCCTTGCTTCATTTTCTTTTTCTTCCAGAAGGTTCCTCTTTACTTGATCAAAGGTCTCTGAAAGATTGTGAGGCCGGTCACAAATGTGACGCAAAC